CCCAGGGACTTCAGGTCCGTAAACACAGTGCAAGAGAAGAAAGTCCTCCAGATGGCAGGGGAGGATGTCTGACCCTACATTAAGGCAGGAAGTGCTTTGTGCTCCTGGCCCAGATGGGATGGATGATGTCTCACATTGTGGGCTGTCAGGGCCCAGAAATTACCTTTTTGAAAGGATGAGAGTTTGCCACAAATAATGAGAATTAATTGTAATTAAAATTGCCCAGGCTTGTTGGCCTTCTATACTGTCAGTCTATATGGCATAGGGTGATTTCCACATGAACATGGTAAAAAGGAACTTGGTGATGAAAGTTTACGCAGAGGTCAGTGGGGCTGCAGATGACTGATTCATCCATGGGTCAGTGGCAATGCTAAAACTGACATGGGGTTCTTAGCCATTCCAGAGATCTCCATCAACATCTCTTAACAGCCTTAAATGTAATACCTCTAGGTATGAGCATGTTTTTGTTGTACACATATAGCTTTAAGGGAGGTCTCAAGTACCAATTCTCCATTCCCACATCCATCCCTAAGAAAAAAGACCTCATGAAGTTTCTCCTATATGGGACATTCGAAGCTGTGTGTTACATAGACTGCTTGGGCTGAGGTCACTGGGCTGCTATTCTCTGGGGCACCTGGGAGGAGGAAGATGGCGAAATGGCTCAGGGCAGGAAATGGAGAGATTAGTATCTATCAGGATCCCTTACTCTTATCCCAATCTCTATTCATCCAGAATCCTTCTTCTTTTTCCTAAATTTATTTTTCAATTATAATTGATATACAATATTATATTAGTTTACAGTGATTATACATTTATATAACTTATGAAGTGATCACTGCGAGAAGTCTCATACCCATCTGACACCATACACAGTTATTACAGTATTATTGACTATATTCCCTATGCTGTACTTTACATCCCCATGACTATTTTTATAACTGGTGATTTGTACTTCTTAATCCCTTTCAACATTTTTTACCCACACCTCCAATGCTCCTCCCATCTGGAGATCATCAATTTGTTCTCTGTATCTGTGAGTTTGTTTCTATTTTGTTTGTTAATTTGTTTCGTGTGGGTTGTTGTTGTTTTGGTTTTTTTTTTGATTCCACATATAATTGAAAGTCTATAGCCTTTGTCTTTCTCTGTCTAACAAATTTTTCTTCGCAGAATACCCTCTACATCCATCCATGTTGCCATGTTGTCACAAATGGTAAGATTTCATTCTTTTTTATGGTTGAGTCATATTCCATTGTATATATGTACCACTTCTTCTTTATATAATCATCAAAATCCTTTTTTTTTTTCTTTCTCTTACCCACTCTTCCTTAATCACTTACTTAAGAGAGAAAAAGTCTTTGTCTCTGGATGGACCCAACCTCTTCTAACCCCATTACCACTGACCAAGCTTATGCATCCTGGCCATGAGCTGTGCAGTAGGAAGGGTTGCAGGTCTCTGGAGGATACTGATGCTGACAGGAAAATTCTTCTTTTGGACAAGTGACACTGACTTGACTAGCCTCTCCCCATAGGAATCCCAATCCCTGCACCGCCCGCCCCCCCCCCCCCGACACACACACACCAGGATGTTTCCATTATTACATGACCAGTTGAATTCCTCCTGTCTCCTAATTTCTGAATAAATTTCTAAAATCTGTAGGGTTGAGGTTCCTCTCCTGGGGTGCTACCATGGTGAGTCCAGTTGTGCCCCATGGAATGGTGATAACTTGGGGGACCCTGGGCATTCTTCTAGAGATGCTTGACTTCAAGTCTCTTCAATCAATAATCAAGCTCTACTCCTGAACTGTATGTCACTTGTGAAGTTTGTGCCTAGACTACATTCTGCCCACAGATTTTCTTAATGGGATGAAGCTTAGATTAGCCTGAGGTTGGAATAGATTGATAGGCCCAAGTAGATGAGGAATTGCTTTAATGCTTTTCATTCCAGGAATACCTCTGGGCCCAGAAACCCCCTGAGGGTCCCTTTTACTGGAGTGTCCGTGTGTCCTGGGCACTTATGAGGACAGTCCTGATTTACCCCTCTTATCTCAGCATCCCATTTTCCTCTCAATAGTATCCCCATTTGTGCAATAAATGAGATGACTGCCCTATATCTAACCCATCTGCGCTCAGTTTTACCTGAGGAAGAATGGATGGCATGCCCAGAATTGGTCCAGAAGGACCCATTTAGATTCTAGAGAAAGAGGCAGATGCAGAATAAAATAACTTCCCAGTGCCTGGGCGTGGAATGTTGGGGGCTGTGCTGTCTGAGAGACATCCTTGCTGTACACATGAGCTTCAAGAGAGGTCTCAAGTACTAATTCTCCATGGCTGTAAAGATTTGAAGAAAGGAGCCTTCCTTGGGTCAAGTGGCATGTTGGGTGGGAACCAGATGAAGTTTGTAACTTTCTCCACCTCTATTATGTCTCCGGCATTGAGTCATTCATCCTTCAGAGGCCATTCCTTCCTTCCTCACCTTGACAAACCACAGGTGCTAACCAGCAACTTCTCCCACATCCTCCCACCTGCTGATGCCTCTGCTTTTAGCACTCCCAAGATGACAGTCACCAAGCCCACAGACCCCATCTCTCTTCTGTGAGGGTAACCCACCTCCACCTTGATGTTTGCCCTACTTTTGCTCAGCTCCCTCCTCACAGCTCTGCTGGAACAAGCCCCTGTCCCCAATACCCCATTCCCCCTACACCTCATTCCCCAACACCTCTATCTCCCAACATACAGTCCCACAATACCCCATCCACAACGCTCTCATCCCTCAATACCCCATCTCTCAACACCCATGTCCCAGTCCATTCCCTCTGGCCCACGCAATGCCCTATTCTCTCTGAGGCATTGACTGTCCCTTCAGCAGCTCATCTCCCTATCCCACCCTTGAGAGGAACCACCACACATGCCTAAAGAATGGAAAGTGCTGCTTTTGTGGGTGCTGGTCTAGGACCTAAACTCTGTCTCCTTTGTATTGGGACTTTTTTAGCCATTACAAAAACAAATAAGCAACAACAATAAGAACAAAACTGTACTGGAATTAGAGAAACCTAGAGATTATTGTGACTGATGGGAACTTATAGTCATGTGATGATTTTTCTAGGCCTGCTGACTTATGTGAGATGATTCAGATAATCCTCTCACCTCCAGTTCCTAGACACTCAGTGCAGTGGGGTGAATAGTGTCCACCCTTAATTTGTGCCAACCCAATGTGACCTAATTTGGAACTAAGGTTTTTGCAGATATAAATGTTAAGGATCTCAGGATGAAATTCTTCTGAAGTTAGGCTTGTGTCCTAAATCCAATAACTTCTGCCTTAGTAAGAAAAAGGAGAGGGAGACTTAGACACAGAGACATAGGGAAGAAAGTGATGAGGGTAGACAGAAGGTTGAAATGAGGCTGCCACAATCCTAGGAATGGGAAGAAGCAAGAAACAATTTTCCCCTAGAACTTTACATATATATATATATATATATATATATATATATATATATATATATATATATATATTTGATGTCAGTGAAAAAGGGAGATGGAGAGAGAGTTGAAACATCAATGATGAGAATCATTGATTGGCTGCCTCCTGCATGCCCCACACTGGGGATTGAGCCTACAACCTGGGCATGTGCCCTGACCAGGAATTGAACCATGAACTCCTGGTTCATAGGTCGATGCTCAACCACTGAGCCGCACTGGCCACTGGCTGGGCTCCCCTAGAATTTTTGAAGGGAGTGCAGCCCTAGTGACACCTTGATTGTGGATTTATGGCTCCAGGACTATGAGAGAATATATTTTGTTAAATCATCAAGGATGTGGTTCTTTGTTACAGCAGCACTGGAAAACAAATACATGCAGGACTCAAGGTCTCTTCATACTCTTGCTGTGGGTCCTGCATCAGAGCTTGGGAGCAGCTGCTCCAGTGTCACCGTGTGACTATCACACCATCCTAGTGTTGACTTGGAAATGTTTCCTGAATCTTCAGCAGAATGTGCCAGTGTTTCCCAGCTTACCAGTCAGTTGATTTCTGGACTGTGGTTTCCTTACCTGTGAAGTAGGGAGACTTAATACCTGCTTCTAGGGTTGTTGTGAGGGAAACTGGGACAACACGTGGGCCAGTGCCCAGCCCTTAGTCTGAAGTCAGGCAGGGCATCAATAAGGACTTCATCTTCACCACCCTTTCTTAGCTTTCAGACTTCCTTCTTACCACTGACATTTGGCCTCAAATAACTTACACATGAATTCTCTCCCTCCATCTCTGCCTTCTTTTCTCTAATTGCTCCCTCCTCCTCTAGTGCAGTAAATGCAACCTTTGTGTAGGGTTTACTGAGTAAGGTAACCGTCCATCCAAGTGGGTGCACTCAGTGTGCTGTATTTGGGGCGGCCTGGTCTCCATCCCTTCAGGTGAAGTTGCCCATTGGAAGGGCTATGTGGCTACAGCACCTCAGCCCCACTGAACCCTGCTTCCTGTCTCTATTCCTCCCCGAGGGCCTGACCATGTGTCCTGCCTCTAGGAAATTAGGTTTCACGTGTCAGCATTTTAAACTCTGTTCTTTCTTTAGGATCCTAACCTAGACATGCAGAATAGAGCTAAATAAATCTTGTGCTGAAGTCCAGAAATAAGATAAGATGGAGGTGTTAACAGACACAGATAAAACGTGAATGCATAATAAATGAAACTTGAATCTGAAATTGAGAAATGACCGGGCTTTCTAACCCACAGGTATGCCCTGTCTTCTGTCTTGTACTGAGGTCCTTACCTGTGCTCATCCTTTTTTAAGAGCATAGCACCTTACCCCTCAGACTAACCCTATGTACTGGGGCACAGAATGCCTGGGTATGGACTATAAGGTCCACCCCCCACCAGGATGAACAGGAGGAAGTAGCACTGGTCAGAGAGGAGAGTCCGTCACTCCATATGCCTGAGAGGTGATGCTGTCCTCAACCAGAAGGTGGGTCTTTGAAGGGCAGAACTCCATAGACACTCATAAAACACTACCAAGTCCAGCACAACATTTTTATTGGTTTAGTTTATCTCAGACTCAGTATTGAGGAGCTCAGTCTGCAGGGCAGCAGAGAGAAGGGACAGATACTTATATAGGTAGGAGATAAGAGGGCGAGGAGAGAATCCTTCATTGGGAACACAGACTGGAAGCATGTGAAGGTGAATCTAGGGTTTGGATTAAAAATGTCTGAGGATGTTCATCTGGAACTGGTCTCAGGAAACCTTTTTCTTGAGCTGCAGAAGAGAGGACACTGTCAGGGTCCCAGGGGTCATGAACAGTAGGAATGGGTCAGAGGAGACCAACTTTGGCCCCAATTTTGGGTAGGACAGGCTGATTCTCCCCATCCTTCAATGCTGCATTCTATAATGATCCCTATACTTTCTGCCCAGACTGGCAGTCCAGTTATAATTCCCTGGAGGTGAAAGGGCTGAGGTCAGGCTCTGAGATCCCCTCCTATCCCATGGGTGATGTTTCACCCTCTACCTCCACCTTGCCTGTCCACCCTACCCTCCTCCTTACCATGGCCATCAGCACCAAGGCGCTGACCAGCACCGCATACACAGTGGCCTTCCCCAGAAGGATCTCATAGAGGATGGTGGCAGACAGGACCCCTTGCTGGTAGGAACCTGTTGGCAGGAAATGAGAACAAGTACATACTTTTAAGCAGATATCTCTGCCCCTCCCCAGGGTCCATGGGTTCTCCATCCTCTGGTTCCAAAGACCATGGGAGAAGGAGAGAAAGAAGCAGAGGGTCACTTACTTGAGGTGAAGCCACAATCTGAAAGAAAGAAGAGGGAGGGAAGTGGATGAGCAGATGAAACACTGTCAGCCTTGTAATCAGCACACTTCAGGCCCAGACCAGAGGAGTCTAGCACTGCCTTCCTGTTTGCCAATATAGACACATCATCCTTGAAATTCATGAGACACACGTGGCAGCTCTGAAGGGGATGGAGACACACCACACAGATGCTGAGCCACCCAGGCCAGTAGTAAGGAGCCCAGCTGCAAGGCTGTGCTGGCTGGGCATCTGAGGAGGAACTAGCCCAAGGTGCCTGTTCTTCATGGTGTGTTCTCATCTTCCCACCCCACTCCTTTTTTTTAAAAAAAAAAAATGTCTAACTTGGTCTTTGTGGCCTTCTACCTGGATCCCCCTTTCTCTCTGGTCTGGCGCCTCCTTGCCTGACCCTCCAAGGCTCCACTCACCTGCTCTGCCCCAGACCTCAGCACTGACATTCTGGGTGATGGGTATGGGGCGGGTGTCCTCCCAATTCTTCTTGTCTTCTTCCTCTAGCCCAAAGAACTGGACTTGGCAGCGGAAGTGGTTGCGAGGATTGTGCCAGAAGGTGGCAGAGACCCTCAGCCGGCTGCTCAGACAGTAGGTGGGGTCACTGTGGTTGCGCTGCTCCTTGTAGGGCTGAGGGTCTGTGCTGACCCCACTCTGGATCTCCTTCCCATTCACCCACCAGCTCAGCTCCACGTGGTCGGGGTAGAAGCCTGTGGCCAGGCACACAAGCGTGGCCTTCTGTGTCCGGGCGATCTCTGCTTCGGATGGTTCAAACACAGTGACCTTGGGTGGTTTCACCTTGTTCAGGTTGTCTGGAAGGGGAGAGGGGTTAGGAATAGGGTTGGTCTGAGAGCTGTCTAGGTTTGGTAGGGGCTGTGTGTGCATGCATGTTCATGTGTGTGTATGACGAGAAGAAAGGTCATCATAAAGCAAAATTATGTAGTAGGTCCTGTTTGTTTGGGTGTCACTGTCTACTGTCTCTTCATCCCCCAAGTTGGCATGATAAATGGCACTGCCTAATGTCTGAGTATGTTATTTCATTTCTTCCCCTCAATAAAAGCTACCTGTCTACTTCTCACCATATTACTTAGTAATTATTTAAATAGAGCACTGGATTGGAATCCAAAAAACAGAATCCAAATCTCAGAAATGACTTTAGGACTTCGGCATCATTTTTCCTGCTCTGAAGGGAGAATCACAACACAGACTGTTCAGGGTGTGTGTGGAGATTAAAAGATATAACAATTCAGACACATAGTCCTCAGTTGGGTTTTTAATATCTGAATCTAAGTGGCTGAGGAAAGGGGATTTGGGGACAAGGGGATCATTTGGGAGCTGGGGTTGTCTTCAGATGACAGTGTACAAATGGCACATTTTTATGCATTGAGGTGAGGACACCCTTTTGTATCATGACATGCTCATGAGCTTTGGGGTTTCCTGGCATTTTTTTATGGTTCATGAAGTCATTCAAGCCATTCCACCACCTCCAAGTACCCCGGAGTTTTCCTCAGCTCAGAGAGTAGTCTCCCCTTATGTCCAACTCAGTGATTCTCCAAACTTCTCTGCCCCTTTGTTTCCACCTGTTGCATCTTTCCCAACAGCAAGCTTCCTAAATGAGCATCTGAGAGCATCGGAGCAACTTCTTGCTCCCAGTTGTCATGATACAATTTGTCCTAAGCCTGTCTGCAGTGTCCTCCAGGCCACAGGTGAAGGCCTTCTATTGGCGGGCTTATTCCTTCTGGGCCATTCCCCGTTTATTTTATACTGTTTTCCATTCATTGTGTTTGTTTCTGGGCAATGCTGTTAAAAATTAAGAAATCTCATTCTCATGAAAATCCAGTTCCGCCTAGAAGATAGAATAATGCTCTTCTAACAGAGATGTCATACTTCTACTAAAATGGGGGCACAGCCACAGATCACACAGGACCCCACACTTAGAAGGACCACACACTTGGTTTAATGGCTGCTGCCACCATTTTGAAATTCTAAATAATTTTTTAACAAGTGTCCCTACATTTTCACTTTGAGCCAGCCTGTGTCCTGTCATGTCAGCTCCCTGCCATGGACCTCCTCCCTGCTACCTGCTACCAAGTCCCTAGGTCTTCACTAGCCCGCTCTGTGTGAAGTGGCCACATCCTAATACATGCAGTACTGGCTCCATCAGCCTTTCTGCCTACAGCCAGGTTACTTAGCTCTCATCTCCAAGCCCCTGCCTCCAGGGTGACTACAGATGCACTCCTCTGACCCCTCACCTGGCAAACTATCAGTGCTTAGTGTCAAAATGAAAGATGTCCTCTGAGCCATGTGTGAGGCTCCCCATGGTGTGATGAGCAGCACGAGCAGAAGCAGGATCTGGTGACTCTGAAGCACTGTCTAATACAACCCCGCAGTGGGGGCAGGTCTTATCCCTCCATGTTTGTGAGTCCCTGTAAGGTGTGAGTAGCTTGCCCAGATGTATGTAGGTGTGCGTGCTAATGAGCTTCTGTGTGCGTATGCTCTGCTTGCCTGTTCCTGACCCACTTCTCACAGCCCTCACTCCTGCCCCTCCTAGGACATTGGGTTCACCCACTCCTGCCCTCCCCAGTGATCAAGTGAGTAGGGGTGGGGAAGGGAAGCACTGAATTACAGCAATCCACCCTTTGTTGAACACTCTACAAGAGCCTTCCCTTGGGATCCTCACAATGATAGTAAGTGGTAGGCTTTGCTAATGATATTGTATATTAGAGGGAACTGAGGGTCACACAGATACACATGCCCAAGGTCACCAATCATTAGAGAGCCAGGGATTGAGACCTGGGTTCACTGGCTCGAAAGTCAAGGTCTGTTCTCCAACCTGGCTGATCACCCACAGCCAGCGAATCCTCTGGGAAGCTCAGCTGAGCCCCATTGGCTCCAGCCCAATGAATTTAACTACCAACAGTGCTCGTGGTTATCACATAATCCAGGTAAAGAGTTTTTCCCTCTCTGGCCTCAACATTCTCATCACCAGGTGACATCTAGGGTCCCTTTGCAGCTCTAAGAGCCCAAGATCCTCCTGGGAATTTTCCTCACCTCACAGCAAAATATCTGCAGTTATTGGGTTTGTGATAAATAAGCTCCCACACCATCTACACCAGTGGTTCTCAACCTTGGCTGCACATTGGAATCACCTGGGAATCTTTTTAAAATCCTGATTTCTGGGCCTCATCCTCCTGAAATTCTGTCTCTTTGTTATAGGGTGAGGCCACAACATTAGTAACAAAGAAACAGAATTTCCGGAGGACGAGGCCCAGAAATCCGGATTTTAAAAAGGTTTCCAGGTGATTCTAATGTGCAGCCAAGGTTGAGAACCACTGGTCCAGACTGTTATGTAGAGTACTTAGTGTGAGGACAGTGATTGCAGACTGGGGGAGAGGGGACCCATCTGGGGGTAAATGCACCTCAGTTGGCTGAGGTTACTGTCCCTCCTCTAGGACCAGCCAAGGCAGGACTGGGTGCTGCCTCCCCCTACCGCCCCCCACCACCCCAGGGGTCTGAGGCTTAGGAGAGACAGAAAGGGTTTTCAATTTAATCTCAAGTCCACACTTCAAAATCCAATCAGCAAACCCGGCTTGTTTTGGCTCTTTTCCTCACTGATTCATGTTTCTCTGTCTCTATCATCTTGGCCTCTCTCTTCCACTGTTTGTCATCCTTTCCCCTCCTCTGTCCACGGCACCCTCCACCTCCACCTCCCAGGAGCCAGGTCTGCAGAGGGCTGGCCATCCAAGCTCTTCCCACTTTCTCCTGCCCCTCCAGCTCTCTCCCCGGTGGAGCAGTTACCCCTCCCACCCTTTCCCCAGCCCAGGTTTTCTAGTCTGTCTTTTTCTCCATCTAGCAGCTCTCAGAGCTCAAATAATACTCTTCCCCACCGCCCACCCTGCCCCTAAATACCCCAGAAAAACAGACCCAAAGCCCCCTTGACACTCTGCCCATGTTCTCGGACCTTGAGCCCCCCCCACCCCATCCCCATCCCCCCTTCACAGAGCCAACCCTACCCACGGACAACTCGCGGCGCCCCAGCTCCAGCCGCCACCCTTCTCCAGAGCCCCAGGGGCTGGGGCGGGAGGGCGGAGAGAAGTCCGATTCTTACCGACGACCGTGAGCCTGGTGCCGGCGCCGAAGTACTGCTCATAGGAGCACAGAGCCCCAGCCCCGCACGTAAACCCCGCCGCGCCGCATCCCGCTTCGCTCCCGGCTCCCAGCCCCGCCGGCTCCGGCGCAGCGCCGGGGGACCGGGTGCCCAGAAGGCGAAGGGCCCTGCGCCGCCCCCTTCCGTCCCGTCCCGACCCGACCCGACCCGACCCGCCGAGTCCCGCGGCCACTCACCCAGCACGGTCAGCCGGCTGCCGGCCCCGAAAGTCAGGGTGGCGCCCGCGGAGCACAGCCTCGGAGCCCCCCACCAAAACCCGCCCGCGCCCCGCGCCCCGCGCCGCTCACCGAGCACCAGGAGCCGCGTGCCGGGACCGAAGTACTGGGTCTCCCCGTCACGGCCCCCGAGCCCCGCACAAAAACCCGCGTGCGCCCCGGCGGGCGTCCCCGCTTACCTAGCACGGTCAGCCGGGTGCCCGGGCCAAAGTACTGCGTGTTTTGGTTCACAGCCTCTGGGCGCAGCACAAAAACAGGCGCCGCTCCCCGTGGTCTCCCCGACCCTCCCCACTGCCCTCCTGGCCCCCAGGCGTCCCTCCTTACCTAGCACGGTCAGCCGGGTGCCCGGGCCGAAATACTGAGTATCTGTGCTCACAGCACCGAGGCCCGGGACAAAAACCAGGCGCTGCTCCCGGCTGCTGCCCCGGACTCAGCCAGGTCTCCGCTCCCGCCGCAGCGGGCACTCCATAGCTCACTCAGCACCCAGCACCCAGAGTCCCCGACCCAGTGTCGCCCTGCCTCCGAGCACAGCCCCAGTGGAGCTGGGTAACTGCCCCCCCCCCCACTCCATCCTGCCCCACGGAGCGCTCTGGACCCCCAACTGCCCTCCTTACCCAGCACGGTCAGCTTGGAACCTTTCCCAAAGTACAGCTGTCCGGTGTTCACACAGCCCTGGGGACCCAGGCGCAAACCCCACCTTCCCGGACTTGGGCCCCTTGGAGGCTCCAGCGCCCACTCCCTGAGGGCCAGTGTTCAGGGGTCGTCCAAGTGAGAGTCCACCCTCCCTCCCACCTGGAGCAGCTTCTTACCGAGCACCGTGAGCCGGGTCCCTGGCCCGAAGTATTGCTCAGCATAGGAGCACAGTGGGAAGGGGCTGCCAAGAATTCCTCCCCCCTCCACACACACACACTTCCCCATCCCCCTTGGTGCAGCCTAAGCGCCTTCCTCCTCCTTCCTGGCTTCTCACCCCCCACCTGCAGATGTAGCTGGACATGGTAATCTGGACACTGTCAGGTCACCCCCAATTCACAGAGGAAGTCAACTTGGCTTGAGGACAATACAGTGGCGGTGAAATCTGAAGGGTTTATTGGTGGTGGTTGGGCTGGAGTGGGCTAGACCCTGCCTCATGCTACTTATAGCCCCTGTGGCCTTAGTTCTTCATTGGAAAAGATGGAGCAAGGTCTTTCCCACGGGGCTGCTGTGAGTTCTTGATGAATGCTGCATGTGCTACTTTGTCAAAGGGCAGGTTTTAGAGACAGCTGAATGAGATCCCACTTTGTTGCCTTGGCCCTTGGCATTCTGGGAAGTTGAGTCTGGAGCAGAGAGATGTAGAGGTGTTCACTGAGTCAGGGTGCCTGCAAGACCTTCTGGGACCAGCCTCAGAGACCTCTCCCAGCTACTCTCCCCATCAGGAGCGTATCCCCTGTGCTGGGTGGATGCATTTTCTGAGGCAGGGCTTTTTGTAAAAGCACCTCCTCTACTTGAATCATTGTGGCCCCCCCCAGTTGCCACAATGCTATACCATGATACAAAAATGTTTTCTCCCCTCTAGCCCCCCTCCCTCAACCACTGAGCAGAGGCAGGAAGCACAGGTGGCAGAGGTTGGTCTGATTGAGTGGGGCTGGGGAAAGACAAACTCAGAGTACATTTAGAGTGGGGAGGGGCTTGGGAAAGGTTATGGTGCCAGTGGGGATGGGGGGCAGAGAGGCCCCTCCCTGGAACATACACAACTCTGAGGAGGTCTCCTATGTCATCAGGTCTCCCCTCTGAGACTCACCGTACCCACCTGCACATTTATAGTCAGGCGATGTAGGAGGAGCGAGGGGTGGGATCTATAGAGCAGGTGATGGCTACTTATGGCACCAGGACAGCACCCCAGAAACCTCTGTAATTCCCCATTGCTTCCTGAACAAAGTCCAAGCTCCTTAGCCTTCATTGATTCCACAGATATTTAATGAGCATCTACTATGCATCAGGCCTCATGCTGGTCCATCTTCCTTTCAGCTTTATGTTTTATGACTCCTGTCTCCGAACCTTGTACTCAACTACTCCGAAGTACCCAGCCCCATTGTTTCGACTTTTGTTTATGCCTCTGACGGTCATTAACACTTCCATTCTTCCTTTGAAGAGTTTTCCAGCTTCTCAGACTTTTCCCAGTCAGAAAGTTGAGCACTCGCCTCTGACTGCATTTCAGTAGACAGCTTGCATTGCTGTTTCAAAGCATCACCTGTATTTCAGCTATTTCTAGTCATGAATCATCCCCTTTAGGAAAAGGTAGGCTTGGAGACTGTGACTTGGATATCTTTATTTTCTTGAAAGTTCATAGAAAAACATTGCAATCTATGTATTCAATGAGTTAATATATATATATATACACACATATACATATATGTGCACACACATTTGAATGTGTGCATGTGTTACAGTAGGTGAGGGAAGGCTGTGTTCTGTAGTCCTGTAGATGGCAGGGTACGTGGCTATTTCAGGCAGGCTTGTTGTGATACCTGCTCCCAAACTGGGTCACTTTGGGCTCACTCATTTATTCATTCACTTATTCAAAGATAATTTATTGGGTTTCTACACTGAACTAGGGTACTATGCCATATCCCAGGGATGCTGTAGTAAAACACAGCCCTGTTATCAGGAGCTGACCATCAAATGGGGTTGTCAGACAAGTGAAGAGGTAGTTTGCATCAAGTGTGGTGTCAGGAAGGAGGTGTGCACAACGCACAATGATAGCAAAATATAGGGTGCATTCAACCCAACCTTAAGAGAATAAGGGGTAAGGAGCTCCAGAGAAGGCTTCTTGAGGGAAAATACTGAGCCAAATCTTTAAGTAAGAGTCAAGAGTACTCAGTCATTCCAGGTAGAGGAGTGCAAAATGGCCTGGAAGCAAATTGCTCAGGGGGTTTGGTGATGAGAGGAGTGAGGTGAGTGTGGAATAAGAAGGTGGAGGACAATTGTGGGCCTTTCATGCCATCCTAAGAATTTTGGACTACATGATCATGGTGACAATGAGACAACAAAGAACTTTTGTAGGATTTCTAGAAATAGCAATAGGGTTGATCTTGGGTTTGGAGAAACTTTATTTTCTATCCTTCTGGGCATGATCAAGGGGCATCTTCACAACTGTTAGTTCACTAGAGAGAAATAGATAAACTGATTTGTAACTTAAAAAACTGAAGACACAGCTGCTGAGGATAAATCTCCAGGTCAGTGCATTTTTCTCTCAGCTGGGAAACCTGGTTGGTGATGAATGGAGAGGAGAAATGTGCTCAGTGAGACAGCTGACAGGGACAGGAATGACATATAGAAAACCAGGCTTCGATAGCCAGGGGGACATAACCAGTTGGCGGTTGACACACCTATGTAGGTCAGCTCTTCCACAGAGCACCTTTGTCCAGGTAGGTCAGCAGATTCCTATGGTCAGCATCACCATTTTTCTAGTCTGTTTGGGAGTAAGCCTCTTCACGTCCCATCACCACCTTTCACATTTCTTAAGTTCCCCACAGAAGGAGCAGTGCCAGTCACAGGCTGGGTCCCTGGGTACCTGAGGGGACTGCACTTTCCTTGACTACCTCTTGTTTCTGTCCTAACTGGAGTCCATGAGAGTTTAGAGATGGAAAAAAGAGATATGTAGACACTCAAGGCAGAATCAAGCCAGAACAGGCCATTTTTATTGGTTCAGTCAATGTAGGCACACCAGAGTCTCCTGGGGTTAGGGAGATTTTAGTCATGAGTGTTCAGCTATGCAAGTAGATAGCGGGTGGATATCAGAATGAATTGAGAGATTGAGACAGCTCTTCAAAAGCACTGGCTAGGAATGGAAAAAGGGGAATCCATATTGGGGAGATAGGCTGGAAGTTCCTGGCTGCACCTCTGAGCTGGTGTCAGGAATTCTTTCTCTTGACCTGAAGAGGAGAAGAAGGTTTTGGAGTTACCTGGAGTGTTGGGGACTTAGAGGAAGCAGGATGGCCCATTGACTAGATGAACAGGGCTCCTCATAACTAGGTTTCAGGTGACCCCAGCTTCTCTTTCCCTCACATCTCTTCCACTGTGGTTCTGGAGGTTGACTAAGTAAGGCATCTTCTAAGAAATGTGAGTAAAACCCCTCTTCCTCTCCTCCCACCTCTGGTCCTGGATCTGAGTTGCTATGTTTTGAGTGTCACCTCCAACCTGCCTGCCCACCCTACCCTCCTCCTTACCATGGCCATCAGCACCAAGGCACTGACCAGCACCGCATACACAGTGGCCTTCCCCAGCAGTATCTCATAGAGGATGGTGGCAGACAGGACCCCTTGCTGGTAGGAACCTGTTGGTAGGAAATGAGAACAAGTACATACTTTTAAGCAGATATCTCTGCCCCTCCCCAGGGTCCATGGGTTCTCCATCCTCTGGTTCCAAAGACCATGGGAGAAGGAGAGAAAGAAGCAGAGGGTCACTTACTTGAGGTGAAGCCACAATCTGAAAGAAAGAAGAGGGAGGGAAGTGGATGAGCAGATGAAACACTGTCAGCCTTGTAATCAGCACACTTCAGGCCCAGACCAGAGGAGTCTAGCACTGCCTTCCTGTTTGCCAGTATAGACACATCATCCTTGAAATTCATGAGACACACGTGGCAGCTCTGAAGGGGATGGGGACACACCACACAGATGCTGAGCCAAAGTGGCCAGCTGCAAGGCTGTGCTGGCTGGGGATCTGAGGAGGAACTAGCCCAAGGTGCCTGTTCTTCTTCATGGTGTGCTCTCATCTTCCCATCCCACTCCTTTTTTTAAAAAAAAATGTCTAACCTGGTCTTTGTGGCCTTCTACCTGGATCCCCCTTTCTCTCTGGTCTGGCGCCTCTTTGCCTGACCCTCCAAGGCTCCACTCACCTGCTCTGCCCCAGACCTCAGCACTGACATTCTGGGTGATGGGTATGGGGCGGGTGTCCTCCCAATTCTTCTTGTCTCCTTCCTCTAGCCCAAAGAACTGGACTTGGCAGCGGAAGTGGTTGCGAGGATTGTGCCAGAAGGTGGCAGAGACCCTCAGCCGGCTGCTCAGACAGTAGGTGGGGTCACTGTGGTTGCGCTGCTCCTTGTAGGGCTGAGGGTCTGTGCTGACCCCACTCTGGATCTCCTTCCCATTCACCCACCAGCTCAGCTCCACGTGGTCGGGGTAGAAGCCTGTGGCCAGGCACACAAGCGTGGCCTTCTGTGTCCGGGCGATCTCTGCTTCGGATGGTTCAAACACAGTGACCTTGGGTGGTTTCACCTTGTTCAGGTTGTCTGGAAGGGGAGAGGGGTTAGGAATAGGGTTGGTCTGAGTGCTGTCTAGGTTTGGTAGGGGCTGTGTGTATTTTATGTGGGCCTGCAGAAGGGGGTCAACATAAAGCAACATTATGTATTAGATCCCGTTTGTTTATAGGTCCCATTCTCTATTGTCATTTTTCCTTGACTTTCCTATCTCCTTCCTAGTCACCCCATGGAGCGACTATCTTTTCCCCCTCCCTAAGGGGCGCCCCCTTTTGTCCCAATTTTCTTGGATTTTTTTTCAAAGTCTCACACTCAGGCCTTGCTCAATTACCTATCAGACGAGTATATCTGTCTTATCTTTTCTTCCTTGTTCAAAGCCCTTTTTGGTGCTCGATGTAATCTTTGAGATTTAGAAGTGGTTATAGCAGAGTTGAATGGGTCTGGATGTTAAGGCAGAAGATTCTCACAAGCAACATAACCCTGGGAGCTAAACTGACTTTTTCTAATTAGCATTGTCCTGTTTTGTAAGGTGTATATGTTTGTCTGTATGATAGCACATATAAGAATTAGTCTTTCTTACCTAGAAGAGACACCTTTCCCATTGCATCTGACTATATATTTTTTCTATATACTATACCCAACTCAAATTTTTTTCTCTCTTCTTTATTTTTTACTGTGTAACTTTCCAAGGTGCACCTGGCTATTATCTTCTCAGCTGTTCCACATTTCCTCCCAAGTGGGGACACACGGGGTTCATGGTAGCTTGCCTGGGATGCCTGTCATCTCATGAGAGATACTCCCCACAGGTTGAGCCCTTTCTTCCTGCCAGTGCCCAGCAAGCCTCCCTGCCAGGGTTGGAATCCTATTTCACAGCCAACCTTTGCATTCTTAAAAGCACTGAGACCTTGGTTGCTGGGTAGGAAAAAGCTCCCAAAGTCTGAAGGCCATTTCATCAGAGGCTCCATATTGTAAACCCCTGGGCCTTTTTACAGTCTGACAGATGGGAGAGAAAGGATTTCTTGAATTGTTTGAAGGCATTTTCCCACCTGAAGACACAGAGGGATGGAAGACACCACAGCCATCTTTCAAGCACCCTCCTTTTTGTCAGACTTTTCTGCTCCCTGTACTTGGTTCTGTTTTGACCTCAAATATAGTTTTTGGAGTAGATAAACAACGGGAATGAGAAGGATGGTGCCCATAGGTGAGTCCTTTACAAAGGATTTTCACATAACTTAACCCCTTACAGTTGAAGGACTCCAAGAGGCTGGCATTGTTAACTCTGTTTATATCTCTTACTTTCTAATTTCATGAGCCCTCTGCCCCTGAACCCAGGCATTGTGAATCCCACGGTGAGCCTGGTGCCAACCCCAATTCCATCATACTTTCTGACATTGTGCCCCCATCTCTGGAACAAAGCCTGATCCAGCCAACCAACCAGCCCCCTTCCTCCAGCCCTGTCTGTATCTCCAGCCGAGACCCATCCATCTTTGCCCCGCTTCTCCCGATTGTCTGCTTCCTCCCAAGCACAGGTCCCTTAGCCTGTAATCCCAGCACAGACCCAGAGGTTTGAGAAAATGAGTCCTCCTACCTATTTCTCTTCTTTATACCTGGTCTGTTGGAAGATGGTATAGGTTCCCATTGTAATAGTTAATTTTGACATACCTCCTCTAATCCCCACCAAACACAGTGTCCCCCAGAGACTCCCCTGAAGTTCTTACAATGCTGTGACATGGACTTCTGCCTTTGGGACTCAGGATCACCTCTCAAACCACCCCAACCTCACCCATCTGGTCCCTCACTGCCTCCTGAGCCCTCAAACCACCCAGAAAGACACACCGGGATCTTTGGAGAAGTCAAGACAGGGACGGAGTGAACGGTGCAGGGCTGGAGTTAGAATGGGAGGGAAAATGGAGAAGATCAGAAAAGAAAGGGAAAGTAAAACAACATAGTAATAAAAAAGTAGAGATGAGAGGAGTCTGGAGAACAATGGGAAGAGGAGAAAGCAAACACAGAACCTGAAGACTAAGCGTGGAACCCACCGCTGAGATGGCGCACAAACACAGTGGAGCAAGGAGGAGGCTTCGGGCAGGGTGGAGAGGACCCTGAGTTCCAGGAAGGAGGGCAGCTCTGATCCTGTCCTTACTCCACACTCCCCTCCCAGCGACTGATCATCATGGTCCAGCACAAGCACCCCCCAGTCAGGAGCAGGACCCCATACCTGTCACGGTGAGCCTGGTGCCGACCCCAAAGTAGAGGGGCGAGTTATAGGAACACAACAGCAGAGAGCTGTGGCAAAACCTACCAGAGGTCTCCTGCCAAAGGGCTAGTCTTAGCTCCCTGGGAGCCAGAAGCCACCTTTCCTTGTCTGGGTTCATGGCTCTGGACCCAAGAGAGTCTATTAGGAGTAAGACCCAAGCATAGAATGGGGAGAGGAATACCAAGAGGCTCCGGTGGGGCATATCCACCAATGTAAGAAGGAGGATGAACCAGGAGAAGGGTAAGGAGGCAGATTATGCACTGAAGACTGAAACTCCCCTCCAGGATTGAAGAGTTCCCTCAGTCCCCTTCCACCAGGGCTGGGAGCAGAGACAAAGTCAGGTCTAAGGGACAGTGGCCCCACCACTTCGGGCCAGTACCTTACCTAGGACAGAGAGTCGAGTCCCATCTCCAAAATGCTGTGCCTGGTTGCTCACAGTACCACAGGAGTGTAAAAAACCCCAGAACCACAGGTGTGTGGCCCTTCCTTCCAGAAGCTCAGTCCACCCAGAACTCCCGGGACTCTAGTCCACTCACCCACATTCTCGGAGCCTGTTCCCTGCTGTGTTCTCAGTCCCTGTCCTCTCCAAGGCATCCTCCTGAAACTCCCACCTTACAACACGCTCTCCCCAGGGAAGCCTTTTACTTACCCAAGACAGAGAGCTTGGTTCCACTGCCGAAAAATAGCTTCTCGTTACTTACACAACACTAAAGTCTGGTAAGAAAACTGCCCTTGAGGCCTCACATTCCTCCTCCTCCAGTTCACCTGCCAGTTCTCCTTCCCTTTTCTCAGCAGAATTTTAACTCTGGGAGGTGGAGGGGGGACAACTGTGCCACCAGAAATGCTGTGGTAAGAGGACCCATTTAGCCCTGTGAGATCCCCCCCTCCTGCGTCCATCCCCTTCTGTGTGAGAGACAAACAGTGAGACTACAGCAACTTTACCTCCAGAGCCTCTCCATCTACCTTGGCCATGACGGGGCACCTTCCATGGACTCAGGAGGTGGACAAGGTGAGCCCTTCCTGGCTAAGACTACTTGCCCCTGGGGAGAGGAACCCAGACTTTGGCACAGACAGTCCATTGGGTTACTGGAGATGGAGCCTGGTCCCTCCTGTCTGCATCAAGACAAGACTTCAGATCTTTCCGATAAAAACATGCTTTTATCTAAGCTCCCAAGACAGGCTCCATCTGGGACCCTGCCTCTTCTTGTAGGCTCCCAGCCCTTCAGCCCCAACTCGCTTAGACTTGCTTACCTACAACAGTGAGCCGGCTGCCTTCCCCAAAATAGAGGGTGTTTCCAGAACACAGCCTCCTGGATCCATTTCAAAACCCCTCTTGTCTGCTGAGCACAGCTGGGATTCCCTTATAGAGTCCCTAGCCTGCTTCAGACACCCTGCATACCCTTCCAGAGCCAGCCCAGTGACATGGGGAAGAGACACAGTGTGATCTCCCATGAAATTCAGAGCAGGGAATATGAGCCTCTGTTGGCGAGGGAAGATGGGCCAATGTCAGAGATCACTATGACCGTCTGGCCTTCTCCCAGCTCCTTCTCCCAGGTAACTACTCAGAGGGGCAGCACCACCTCTCAGGCTCAGCTCTGGGATTACAGGGGACCTCAGGTGGCTGAGTGAATGTGCTCGTACAGGGACCTTCCTCTGAACTCGTTCACAGATGTAGAACCTGGGAGCCAGGTCATCTTTTCCTGCCCATGTTGTCTGGGTTAGTCCTCCCTCCCCAGAACCCCCTAGAGACCCAGCCTTACCTATGACCATCAGCCTGGTCCCTGGGCCGAAGGTAACATCATAGTTAGCACATCAGAATAGGACCACTCTAAAATGCACACTTTGGACCCACTATACCCTACCAAGGGCCCAGGAAGATCCAGAGCATATCTTACCTACAACTGTGAGCCTGGTGCCTTCTCCAAAGAAAACTTGGGTGTTCACACAGTGACATGGGGCAAGGAAGAAAACAGAATTGAGACATGGAGAGGAGGGGCCCTGGCTGGTGTCTGGAAGACTCTGGAATGAGAACTAACTGCCCCCCATCCCTGCTTTATAAGTACTGAACAGAAGAACATATTCAACTTTGACTTCTGAGGTCACGGAACATGGCTAGATCCATCCAGAGGGCCCCGTGCCCCTTTTTCAAATGTCTCAAAGTATGTGGGCTGGAGAGGAGGGCAGGGTCCCAGAACCCAAGATATATCTATCTTCTTTCTTTATAGATTGGGTCACCTCCCATGTACTTTCCCACTGACCTTGTCCTGGGATGAAGGAGTCTCCCTGAGTCCTTCCCCCATAAACCCACTGAGGTGTCCTTCTTACATCTGGGCTCTCTGCCTGGAAGCTTCAGTTCTGATTCAGGCCTGTCCTTATCCTTGGCCTTGGCTGGACAGGTAGACAGGAGTGAGGAGGAGGCATTCTGAACCAAGCCACTCTTGGGCCTGTGACCCTAGAGAAAAGTGGAGGGACTATGGGGTTGGGTCATGCTGAGAGGTTTTTGTAAAGGTTTCCCATAGAGATAAATCACCGTGGCCCCCTGTCCCCACAATGTTTCAGCTTTGTACAAAAACGCCCCTCCCATGGGCCCGCCCCTCAGAGCCAGGAAGAAACAACCAGAGCAGCTGTCCTTCGAGGGTGTTGGAGTTTGGGGGCAGTGGCATCATCCCCTGCCCCATGGTGTGAGGTGGCAAGGTTCAAACCAGGCCAAGGGTCTCCCTCCTCACCCCATACCCTTTCTTCAGGATATTCTTAGCTCCTCAGAGACATGTGTCTTTTTGAGACTGCCTACCACAGGGCCTGGTTTTCTCCCTAACCTGGTATCCGCCCCTCTTGCAGAGTCTGTCGTCATAGTGGGGAGCCACCCTGCCAGAAAGTGGAACCCCCTTTCTATCCTGGGCCTGCCCCTGAGGTTGTGACACTCAGAGACCACGCCTTTCATCTGAAAATGAGGCCCTAACACCCAGACTCTGTCCCTTTGGCCCCACTCCGAACCTCTAGGGTGGTCTGGAGAACTGACCATGAGCTGCCCAGGCTGGGCTTTCCTAAATGTGGCCAAAGTGAGAGCTGTGAGCTGAGTGCATTTCTGAATGGGTGTGGGTGAGGGAAGACCACACCTGTGTTTGTGGAGCTCAGATGTCAGAGGGAGGTCAAGGGAGTTGGGGAAGTGGGTGTGAAGAACTGGAGAAATAGTCTCAGGCACATACAATCATGGCCAGATAATCAGTCAGTCTTCTCCCTCTTCCCTGAAGGGTAGATACATTTTAAGTTGGTAGATATTTTAGATTTCCTGCATGAAATGACCTTCATTAACCTCCAGTTGAGTGGCCTAGCTCTCATTTCACTAAATGGAGCTTCCTTTTATCACCTTTCAAACTATGACTAAAAATCTGGGGCGGGGGAAGAAGGGGTGGCAGGGGGGAGACAAGCTTGACTACATAATGATGACAAACTTACATGGAAAAATATACACAGAATCAAGAAATAAGTGACAATAGGGGACAAACATTTTCAGTCCTCATCAGAAGGACTAATCTCCCCAATATATGATGAACTCCTAGAAATCAGTAAGAAAATAATCCAGTAGCCCTATAAAATTGGCAAAGAACAGATGGCTCAGTCATAGGATCCCAATGGTGCTTCACCATAGGGAAAAACATTTGCAATGGTAAACGCAAACTAAAATTACATTGAAATGTCGCTTTTCACCAATTTGACAAACTTGAATCATGGAAGAATATTCTATTGGCACTGTGTGGTGAAATATGCACGTTTAAATACAGTAGTTACCTCCTTATCCACGGTTTTGCTTTCCAAGGTTTCAGCTACCTGTGGTCAACCAAGGTCTGAAAATATTAACGAAAAATTCCAGAAATAAACAATTTCTAAACTTTAAATTACATGTTGTTCTGAGTACATGATGAAATCTCATGCTGTCTTGCTCCATCCTTCCCTTTATGTGAATCATCCCTTTGTCCAGTGTCTCCATGCTGTTGATGCTCCCCGCCCCTTAGTCACTTAGTAGCCATTTCCGTTATCAGACCGACTGTCTTGGTACCACAGTACTTGTGTTCAAACAACTCTTATTTTACTTAATAATGGCCCCAAGCAAAAGACTACTGATGCTAGCAATTTGGATATCAAAAGAGATGCTGTAAAGTGCTTCCTTTCAGTGAAAAGGTGACTACAGTACAATGAGATATTGAGAGACAGACAACATTCATATAACATTTATTATAGTATATTCTTAATAGTGTTTTATTTTATTATTAGTTATTATTGTCAATATCTTACTGTGCCTAATTTATAAATTAAACTTTATTGGAGGTATGTATGTATAGGAACAAAACATTGTATACATAGGATTTGGTACTGTCCATGGTCTGTCTCAGGCACCTACTGGAAGTCTTGGACTGTATCCTCCATGGATAAAGTGGAGACTACTGTATTGATTGTGGATAGGAGTGCAAAATGACACAACCCTATGGGGAACAATTTGAAAATATCTATACAAATTACAAAAATGCATCTATTTATTCACCCAGAAATTCCACCTATGGATATTTATCCTTAAATATTATTGAATACAAATTAAAAAATCGGTGTAAACTATTTGCATTATTTGAAATAACAAAAGAGTTGAGAATCACAAGTGCCCATGGTTTTATGGTTGTGAATTTGCTGAGGAAGCTTGTGAAAAATGCATATTTCTGAGTAGTCCCAGGTACTTTTGAATTAAAAATCCTGGGATTGACTTTACTAATTTGTACTTAAATAAACAATCAAGCCTCAAATTACCCTGGATATTTCTATTTCAGTGCCAGGTTTGGACCGACTGCTTGTCCCCTGACATGTAAAGAAACAGGTGTCAGGGTAGAGAACACTAGAGTGCTACCTGGTGGTGTCACAAGTTGGATGCAATAGTGTGGCTCTTAAAATTTAGGGAAAAAAGAGAAAGGGAAGACAGTCTGTTTACTTAGGGATAGCGGCCCATCTCACACTCTATCAT